TTTTTAATTTGCGATAAAATCTACACAAAATGTTATATAGAGATTACTATCAAATTGTAAATGATAGCATTAAATAATCTGCGAATAATGAATAAATTCATTTACAATTAATATTGCAAGTAAAAATTATAATAAACTTTATATTATTATCTGATATTTGATAATAAGAAAGCGTTTTTAATAAACTTTCATGTAGTGATAGCGTTCGTCTAATGAATATCCTGACATATTAGAGTCCTACAAATAGTGATTAAATTATAAAAAAAAAGTTAAATTTATTATTACATTAAAAGATACCTTCGCCAAAAATATATAAAATTCAAAATGAAATTTGTCTATGCAGGTTTGAAATAATTTCTCACTTTTCTGACCTTTTCTGGACGATCACGAACATTTCGAGACTAAAAGTGGCCAAATCGGTTCAGTCACATTTTTAGAATTTCGAAAAAATTATTTAGTGTGAATCTAAAGAATATAGTGACTAAGGTAACTCATAATTTAAATAAATTCTGAGTTATACTCATGAGTTAATTTGATTGTGAGTTACGTGATACATTTTTTTAAATACATTTACAAAAACTTGATTCTATTTGGTTTCACAATTAAAAATAATAAGTATATGTATAATGAAAACGATATAAAAATTATTATATCTAAAGGTATCATCATTATGCTAAAAAAGGTAATACAATATTTTATCACAAGTTGAGATTAAGTTTCTGTCTATTCCCTAGTTAGTACTCGTTCCTCACAGAAATTTTTAACTGATTCGATACTACATCAGAAGAATTAATTTTTTTATTTAGAACATGTTCAATTGGATATGGAAATATTTTCAAATAAACTAGAAATATAATGAATTGACTCCAATATTCAGGTTTATGACTTTTTCTATGCCGTTATAATATTGACAGCGATATATTATGATGTTCAAGAGGTGACAGACTAATATCTTCCAGAGTTAATTACTGAATGAAAGTTTAGAATCAACAATATCCCGTAACATGAAAGTCGTATAATTGAAGGAAAAGGTCATGAGAAAATTGGTCAAATTTTCTCTTCTTGTAAGATTCATTTTTTTATTAATTAGATATGGATTTATAGCCTATGTTGCAAGTCACAACTAAATTTTAATATGTAATCTTATTAAACCCAAATATTAAATCTCACATTATATCTCAAATTTATGGTGCTCAACATAAATAAATATTTCATTGACTTTACTTTGTGTAATTCATAACCCGATTTGTTGGTTTTCTATTATGCATCGTTGTCTCTATTTATTTATACGTACTATAAATATTTAAAATAATAAAACAAATATTTTCTCTGTAATACATATAGGTATTTTTTTTTCAACTGAGGAAGGGTAGAGCAATGGACTGAATCGATTTGCAGAATCATCTGAAGTACTTTAAAAATCTAACATTAATATCTATTTTCTTATCAGAAATTAGTTAAGGTAAACAAAAGACTTACAATGATCCAGTTCGGAATCGAAAAAATTTTTCTTTATAATGGTTTATAACGTGTTCAATCGACATAAAACCAGTAAAATGTGGTTGAATAAATCATCTCTGACCTAATATTTCAAAAACATGATTTTAAAAAAAATATTTTTCCAAAAACAGCAAGTTTTGCAACAAAGTTGATACTTTGGTCATTTGAGCGTTTTTGGTCTGTAATTTTTTACTGTGCTCCAATTTGCATGAAATTTTGGAATTAGGTTCATCCTACCCTCAAGGTCAAAAGTCATATAGGTATCATAATGTCACATATAGGTATATTTATTTTTCAACTGAAAAAAGGTAGAGCAATGCATTGAAACCGATTCGCAGAATCATCTGAAGTACTTAATCTTAAAAAATTAGAATCTAATATTATCTATTATCTTATCAGAAATCATTGCTCTAAACCATAGGTTCCCAAACTTGTTTGTGTTGCGGACCCCTTAGACTGCCATGGACCCTCTACTTAACCGATATCGTTTTTTTTTTAATTTCTATTTGTACTAAAGTTTTGTATTAAACATTTAAAGTAAAGATAATTGACTTAACTATTAATAAAGTAGATAATAACAAGGTGTGTTGTGATCCACAATTGACCCCTTGTAAGTTGTCATAGACCACTGAGGGTCCTAATGAACCACTTTGGGAATAACTGGACTAAAGTACATCGTCACCAGTGCCTTGCTCAAATTCTTAGAATATAAATCTTTAATAAATCAATTATCATTTTCCATCGCTAAATAAGTTTTCAACTCTGTCTCAGATCAAATAACACAATTCAAATTAGTATTCCTTATATCATGACACATATTCCATGAGTCATTGGATTGATAAGATCGTAACTAAATCAAAATGGCAATTATTATGAGACTCAGCTGCATCTGCATCTCAATAATAAATTCAATAATATGTCAGAAGATAGAAAACATATTATTCATAAGAAACCATAAATAATATTATGCTTATTTTTATGTGAGATTCATACGCAAGTAGGTAAGTATGACGTATGCAAATTTATGAATGGAAAAATGAGAAGATGATATAAATATTATTAATGACTGGTTAAAAGATGATTATGATAAACTAATGGGATATTTAAAAGTATCACTAAATGTCGTTCTACAATATTGTAATAATAAAACATGGTTCAAGAAAGTCGGTGGCGTTGTACTATATTTATATTTCTTATACTATACTGAAATAAACAGTATAAAATATTTATCTTATGGTTGTTATAGAGGAGACTGGGTCTAAACTATACTGATTTTGAGATAGGGTCCAAAAGAGAAAGATGAAGTATGTTTGTTCGAACAAGTTTCCATTATTCCATTGAGTGAGCGCTCTACATTAACATGATCTGTAGACCAAATTTCTTTTAAAGAGTATTAGATAGAAGAAGATAAGATAAGTAGGCGATACTGGGTACGATTGTGCCAGATTGTACACAACCCGAAATAAACAGTATAAAATATTTATCTTAAGGTTGTTATAGAGAAGACTGGGTCCAAACTATACTAATTTTGAGATAGGATCCAAGAGCGAAAGATGAAGTATGTTTGTTCGAACAAGTTTCCAATATTCCATTGAGTCAACGACCTATATAAACATGATCTGTAGACCTAATTGCTTTTAAAGAGAATATAGCTATACTTCAAATTTTGGATCTGGTTGTAGATTACATTAGTAGGGGATACTGGTTACGGTGGTGACAGTAGCCATAACAGCTAAACTATACTGATTTTGATATAGGGTCCAAAGGAGAAAGATGAAGTATGTTTGTTCGAACAAGTTTACATTATTGCATTGAGTCAGCGCCTTATTTTAACATGAACTGACAACCAAATTGCTTTTGAAGAGTATGCTGCTATATTCAAAATTTTGGATCTTTTGCCAGGTTACGGTAGTGACAGTCGCCATTAAAGCTGCACTATACAGATTTTGAGAGAGGGTCCGAAAGATGAAGTATGATTGCTCGAACAAGTTTACATTATTGCAGTCATTTAAGATAGAAGGGCCAGAAAACGACAAAAATGATAAGCATTTAAGTGTTATGCAGAAGAATTACTAGATCCAGGAATTTGTCGTTTTTTAAATTTCTTACAATTTTTTGCTATGTGACCCCCACTTTTTGACTTCAGATTCGTATTCAGGGGTAAAAACTACATTGGAAAACATGGCCGCTCAACCAACACAGACATTTTTTTTTTATTTTGTGGACCTGTGTATTGTTATTTGTTACATATTTCTGTTTCTGATTTACTAAAATAAGATCAGATTTTATAATGTTTACTGTAGGAATCTTATGAATGCCTTAATATGTATTTATTAAAACTTTAATCATTTTAGGCAAATTATTTAAAAGACTGATGTCAAAAAATCTCAAATTCTGAAAACAAAGGTTTTCAATACCAGAAAGAATGAAAAATAACAATAAATCTCACGCATTATCATGTCTACATAATAATGAAGTAATATTTTCTAGAGCATGCAATACGAACCATATAGCATGTTTAAATCATTTACTTTTTATAGAGCATGGATTGTTAAATGACCAACTATTTTCTACCAGATCGTTAAATCAATGTTTCATGTAAGTCTATTTCCGCTTTCTTAGGAAGCTATAATTATTAGATTGATATCTATGGAAACCAGGAAAATTGAATTAGTAATTTTAAAACAGAAATTACTAAATTGTTGCTTTGTATTGTTGTTATTTTGTCTGGTTATTTTGCTAATTTCAAATTTAATTTTCGTCATGAATCAATTTTCAAAATATACGTATTACTATAAGAAATACTTATTCTTCAAGTATTTTTTATAGATAAATCAAGGAAAAATTGAAACCTGCGTAGCATCATTTTCTCATTTCATCAATTATTAATAAATACAAAAATAGGCAGTTTCGCATACCAAAAAGGGTATGATTACAACACATCAATGAAGAATATTATTATTATTATTATTTAAGGAATCAATCAAAAAATCAATGAAGAATATTATTTTAGTAGTAATTATCATGACAAAAATTTATATACTTTTTCGATTTACATTTTTGGACAAAACCAATAATTTTCCCAAAATCTATAACTTTCGGTGAAAGAAAAGGAAGGAGTGATTGGAATTAGTTCCACAGTGGAACTTCCACTGAAAGGTTAACAATGAAACCAGTAGATAAGATAACAGAGATTCGCCAATATCGAAATCAGTTAATTAGTAGTTTGCTAAATTTATTCATCCTTGTTAAATAAAAAACTACCAATCAAAAGAAGAACCGAGCCACGATATCATATGGACATCATATACATCAAGCGTCTAGTAGTTATATCTTACAGCTCCGTAGAAGTATTTCTGCTTGCATGTTCACCCGGCGAGTTTCAAGACAAATAATACTAGTACACCGATTTATAATTTCAAAAATTATTGAAAATGTAATATATATTCATAAAATGTTATGTTCATTCGCAATAAAAAAAAGCAAATTAAAATATAACAAGATAAAACAAAATATGTTACTCTACTACATAAATGGGTACTGCCCTAGGGCAGATCCGTGAGCTGAGTTAAACTCCAACTCGATTCAGGGAAAAATTACCATGAACTTATGATCCCTTAAATCATTTTACGATGGAGTAATATAATAATGTTATTTTAAAATTTAATAATTTTCAAAAAAAATTATTAATAAATTTAGTTTTATTCTTTATTAATTGACTTAATTTCTTTTCAGTTACTTTTTAACGTTGTAAGTAATGAGTGTTTGTAACTTTGTAGTAATAAGTGTCAACGTACAACAAGCAAATCTCTAATTGAGAAACATACATTCAGGGGTCAATTCTTTGGTAAAATAGACCCGTAACATAGCGTTGTTATGGTAACGCTATGTTATGCTGCTTTCTTGGTACTAAAAGCTTTCAAATGCTATGTACTTTTTGTACAAACTTTCAATTGGCTCTGTCTAAATGTTATATTAAGAGCTAATACTATTAGAGATTCATTATATATTCATTTGGAAGTATTGGCGCCCTTGGGAGCAAAGAAATTCCAAAATGTCCTTGTTAAGGACCACCCTAATATATATATATATATATATATATATATAGTTTTATATATATATTTATATATATATATATATATATATATATATATTTATTTATTTATATATAAATGTGTGTCTTTCAAATATAAAAAGATTCAATTCCTACCTTCCATAACATAAACGATACTGCCGACATCTCCTTCCTTGATGATGACACTTCCAGCTTCATAAGTGACAGGGTACATGCAATCCACCAGCTCCCGAATTTGGGTCATTTCCAAATTCTTCATGAAGTCATTGTCCAATATAGCAGATTTGATGATATCGCGAGATCTGGAAGAAGAATGGAAAAAATCAAATATCATATCAGAACAGATAATTAGACAAATTCAAGTAGATTAGACCAATGCAAGACTCTTGGGTGAATTATGAAGTGCAAGGACAAACTTCATTAAAGGTTTGTTTCAAGCGCATCATACTTTAGGCCAAGGGGTTTTTAACTAAAATTTTTCAACATTTTCAATAATACATTGTTGGTTTAAATGTTTCTAGTTTTGATACCACGAATTTAAAATTTTAGGTGAGCCAATAGCATAAATCGACTAATGAATGCGAGCATCATAAGACCAATACAATTAATATCATTAGTAATAATTAATTATTACAAAAAATGAAAGTAATTTATTTTAATGGAATAAAAGTACCTTAGCAGACGATTTTTTCTGGTGTTTTGAATAAAAACTTAAATCATTTTCATCAAACTTCATAGAACAGATCATTCGAGTTAATTTATCATGATCATTAAATAAATACAAGGTGAGATATTCTGTTGATTTATAATGCTCACCACTAGAAACATATTATTACTATTTGATGAACGTCACAAATTTCATATAAGTTAGTATATATGTCCATTTCCAGGCCTTCAATTGACAAAATATAATGCCTTAAATTTTGTGTATCGGTTGTTATTTTCCTTAAATTTTCCATTACTCAAGTTGACAAATAGTAAAACGATCATATTCTGGGCAAAAAATTCCGTTTGACTACTTTTCCAATAGCTTTTAAGTACAGTTCAATATTATTTATGTAAATTCTGTTGTAAAATTTGTCTTGTATTTGATATACTATTAGCACTCTGAGTTTATGACCAGGTGTTGAATGTTTTCAGAAATATATTCTGCTTAAGTTTTCATTTTATAAATAAAAATATTGTATGAAGTCGACATGTATTACTTTGCATTCTTAGAATTTAGTATGTGTTAATGCTAAATGTTAGTTCTTAGGAAAAATGAGAGTTGCATGAATACAGTTTTGAAAGATCATGAGGCTTTTAATATTAGCTTAATTAAATATATACGTAAATTAAGAAAATAAAGAGATAATTTTAGTTTATTAACTCCCATCAGCAACCAGAACAGTAGCATTGAAAAATAGTTAATTACTCATCTATGATTTTGGTGTATTTCAAATTTTGATGCAACCAAGTCAATTTTTGGAGAGATATTCCCTATAAAAAATTTCATTTGGTACACGACTGTAGCTTATTCATGATGTATTTTGTTTAAAAAATAAAACAATATTCGGACACATTTAACAAGACATATGTCAATCTATCAACTTACTCTGCACTTTTGGGTATTCTAACAATAGTTTTCCATTTGATGCTTTCACTAATAGGCTCGGCACTAATAGCCTGCCTTTTTATACGTCCTGATGCCTCAATATGCACCCCTGGCCTATGATCCAAATTCCTCTCAGCATTCTGTATTTCAGTAATGGAATTACCCAAACTGGTGACCGAAATATCTTTATCCTCCGGCTGCAGAGCCTCCTGCAACTGCTGAAGAACACAAGCTCCTGAAGGATGGACCGCCTTAACTCCTCGGCGTTCCAGAGTTGCTTCTGTAAGTCGTTTGACAACTTGCCGAAATTTATCAATTTCATTCCGAAGATGGATTATTTCAGAATCTCTCTTGGCCAAGGTGTTTTGGAGTTCACAGACTTTACTGGCCAATTCATCTCTGGTGGCGGTTTTGAGATCCAAAACTTTACTGGACTCGCACAATGGTGCTTTATTGGTGCCGTTTTTTGTTGGCACCACATTGGGTGAAGGATATTTGTTGGAAGACATTGTTTGAGTATTATTTTTGAAGCACAGTTTTTGTTTTATAAATTTTATCACGTTTGTATTCATTCAAGATAGAAATAATAGAGTAATTTAAAGCAATAAGTCCCAAATGATATTTGCATAGTTTCAATATATGTGCAAGCTCAAGATTGAATGACTTATAACATTATATTGTAGATTAGGATAATCAGGCTGAAATGTATATTTATTTTTAAACTTAATTTTTTAATATTTTTCGAATTTTTGAGAAGTCTCATTGCAAATATTATCATTTTATTCACCATGTACAAGATTCAAAAAAACCCTAAATTAAATCTTTTCAAGAGAAGCTATCAAAAAATCCAATCACCTAATTTTATGTTGTCTTGATGATTCCTCTTTAAACAACATTGGTAAAAATATGTATGGGTTTGTGTATGTAAATGTATAAACCCTTGCTAAAATGTTAAAATAATAGTTGCAAAAAAGTTATAGATACAATTTAAAAAGTTGCTAAATTTCAGTTCTTATTGCTTAAGTCAAAGACTACTAGTACTTTTACGCTACCCACACCTACTTTTTACACTTTACTCCAAATAAATTTACAAAGAGGTAATGTTGATCCAAAAACCTCTGATCACGTTTACTTTTCCTTCCCTTCATAAATAATTTTAATAAATTTAACAATATTATATATAACATATTAATTTTTTCAAAATAAATCTTCTAAGTAGACTCTATTATAGTATAGTGAACATGATGTGAAGTTTTTGGGTCAACAATACCTCTTTGTAAATTTATTTTGAGTAAAGTGTAGAAAAAAGATGTGAGTAGCTCTTTTTTTCGACTGAATCAATAAGAATTAAAATTAAGCAACTTCTCAAATTGTATCTATAAATTGCTACTTTTTCACATCTTTTGTTTTAACATTTTAGCAAGGGTTTCTTTATATACATACTCAAACCCAAACATATTTTTACCAATTTTGGTTAAAAATTAATCATCAAGACAACATAAAATTAGGTGATTGAATTTTTTGAGATAATCCTAATTTGGCCCTTTGGAAAATGATAATACCATTAAGCAAAGAACGTTTTTTCTGAAGAACACAAAGAATAAAACTTTTATTACAGGAATAAATTAAACTGTTCGAAGACAGTGAAAGTTTCAGTAAGGTACAAAAATTAACTTTTGAACTGGTTGTGATAACCGAAATTTGATTAAACACAGATTGTCAGATTATCGTTTAACATACATTTAATCATAAATGCTATAGCATCCACGTCAAGTTCTGATATAAAACACCTGACTGCACAGCAATTACACAGCTTTTTGACAGTTTTGAGTATCATTTTCTATGAAAAACGCAGCCTAACATAGCCTTGCCATAGAATTAGTTTGTTTTACGGCAGAATTGGCCCATAAACATTCTTTATAAAAAAATTCAAGAAATGGAATATTTTTTCTATTCTAGGAATGTATTACCACTCTACTAATGACACAAACTCCAGTGAATTTATCTCAAATAAAAACTCAAAATCAAACATCAACAAACCGAATCTGCGTCTTGGTGAATTTTATTATAGACAAAAAGTTCCCAAAGAAATCTATTTCAGTTATCGCCTCAACATCCGCATATTAAAAGGCGAGTGTTTAAGATAAATAAACGATAAAATCATATTTATATACACAGACTGTATCTAGTTTATGCATGTTCATTCCAGTACGCAAAAAATATTGAGGAATTGTCTCAAGGCTACGAATAATGTACTTGCATAGAAACAATTATGAAATCGTTTGATATTAACATCTTTAGTTAATTGATCTATGTGTTGCTTGTTATATCACATATAAAAAGATTTTCTTTGGCGATTTTATAAAAAACTCATTAACCTTTCTTCTGTTGCAAAGAAAAATTATATAAGTCTATTCAAATGCGAGATAATAAATCATCACATTTTAGTGATGATGGATTGGAAGATGGGTACTGATTTATTTATGTCAGTATTAGCTCTTCATAATCAGTTTGAATCAATATAAATTTTATAGTAATTGCATAGCAATTTGTAATATATTTGAGTTCATTCAAAGACATTGAATGGGAATTGTTGAAAAATTAATAATAAATCTATATTTTAAGTCAAGTGTTTCTAGACCAATTTAATTAATTATTTGTCCTTTTCAAAACTATGACATCAATAATATAATGCATCCTCCTTTACATACTCATAACCCAAGTATTTATAATCAACTATGTATAAGGTGAAGAGGGGCTTAAAGGACCGCAGGTAAAAAGCTCCACTACCAATATCTTAAAAATCAGTAAAGTTAATTTTTTTAACAACAATATTTGAAAGTAGAAGGTAAAAGATGTATGAACAACTATCACCTTGATTCTTACAATGATGCTATCAGGGGATAAACGACAATGTTTGAAAACCAATAACAAAAGTATTTTCTTTCGTTGATTTTATTGGTTGTAAGCACTCTTGTTTAGTTTACGATACTTTGATATAATTTTCAAGTATACGTTATTTCATTGTTTTATAAGATGTTTTGTTAATTTTTATTACAACACTTCTATAAAAGCTTACACCTGAATGGAGTACAAAGGACCAACGAGCAAAGATGTAAAAAATAAAAATAACAAATACAAAATATAAATTAAATTAGTAGTTATTCTGAAATACCAGATCGAGGTTATTTACAGTATTAAAAAATGCATCCATAAAATCTATTGGTTGAATAATGTACCGATTATTTTGTAAAATCCCCTTAAAATCAAAATAAGATATTGGACATGTTTGCCCCCCATTGGCCGTCCCAATTTGCGCCGCCTATGGGGTAAAAAGGACCAGGCTACCAATTTTAGCAAAAAAATCACGTTTATACAATGATGAATTAGCAAATATGTGAATTGGCAAATTATCTATTTTGTGTATCAAATTTTGAAGATGTATTAGTACTCTAATATTCTAATATATTTATTTCTTGATGAATGCATTTTTAAACATGGCATCAAAATATCTAGCACTAATAAAATACACATTAAACTCTGATTCATAGACCATACATATATATATATATATATATATATATATATATATATATATATATATATATATATACTGAATGGTAGAGTCTTGGATTTGTGTATATTTTGTAGAGTTTCGAACAAGAATCCAAAATAATACAAAATAAAAACAAGAAAAGTTTTTAAAAAAAACATTTCTTTATTTAATTATTTGTTTATTGTCGACGTTTCGGAATAATCCTGATAATCCACTCATTTATTTTTATCATTTTTATCATTTTCATTTTGAACATATTATCATATTGCTGTACATTATTATATTTTATTTTTGCAATTAATTCATTATTTAAGAAAAATCTATTTTCTTTCCTAAACATATTGTTTGCTAAAATCTCATCAAGATCATGTTTCTTGACAGATGTCCTGAAGATGGAACGTACCTAGTTCCGAAACGTCGACAGTAAAACAAATAATTAAATAAAGAAATTGTTTTTTTTAAAAACTTTTCTTGTTTTTTATTTTGTATTATTTTTGGATTCTTGTTCGAAACTCTACAAAATATATATATACATATATATATATATATATATAAGTGTGTGTGTGTGTGTACTGTGTATCATGCAAAAGAAATAAAGTTTAATATTTTTTAAGCGAAAATTATCACCTTGATAATATAAGCCATTATAACATCCATAAAATGTTAAACATACTCTTTATGATAATTAATTAAAGAATTATGTCCTAATTAATTCATATCATAAAGTTTTATGTCTCTTGTTAATATTTCGAAATAAAACTAAACTGAAATCGTCACGAAGCGGTTTAACCAAAGAGCGTGAAATTAAACGCCAAGAACGCGCCTATATGCATTGTTATATAAACATTCGTCATACGAATTTATCATATTGTGATTTGACACGCAGCAATTACAAACGAAAACGGATCGTTTAAAAATTTAATAGCACTTTTAGTAAATACCGACAAAAATCTATTAAACTAGACCATAGGTTCCCAAACTTTTGGACGGTGTATGTCGACAACCCCTTGAGCCATGGATCTTTGTCCCTGTATATAACTCGATATCGATTTTTTAAATAACGTTGCATCTGTACTAAAGTTTATTATTAAATATTTAAAGTTAATTTTCCACATTTATTAAATGTTTAATTATCAACATTTGGCAGCAATTTTGTAAAGTTCAATGTTACATCTTCGAGCTGATGCTGTTCAGTTTACATCATTTTTTTGTTAGAAGATCACTATTTTGCAACTATTTTGTAACTATAGTACCCAGAAATACTATAACCATATAATACTTAACCATATTACGATCACAAATCAAATGCTTTCTGATGCCACAAATTACATTTTATTAAAAATAACAATATTTTTATTAACTTCTCGTAGGGTAAGTTGTAGTAATCGCAAAAAAATCGAAAATGAAAATTTTTATATATCTTTACGTTTCAGAGGTTTCTGAACATTTTGGCATACCTTAGAAAAAATGGATGTATGTGTGTGTGCGTGTGTGTGTGTGCGGATATAAATTTTTGTCGACGATTTCCGATTTGAATAATTCAAAAAACATTCGATTCGTATTGATAAGGAGACGTGCTGATTAGTTTTTGACGGAGGCAGGTCTAGCCGTCCCGAAGATACGGGTCAAAAAGTGCCAAAAATGGTAACTCAGTCTTTAAGAGAACGGAGCGTCCGATTTCAATAATTCAAAAAATATTTTACTTGTATTGACAAGATGAACAACTGATTAAATTTTCATGAAGGCAGGTCTAGCGGTTTCGGAGATCTAGTAAAAAAAAAAGTAAAAAAAATGCCATTTGGCGGTCAAAAATTAACATTAGACATACGTTGTCAAAAGTATTTATAGAAACTAGTATAGCTTAAATAATTTGTTGAGTATAGATCAGCCAGTTTGAAAAAATAGAGTAGTATCCACAAAATTTTCACTCCCGAAGGATTCACACCTCATATA